GAGGCCACGTCGCTGTGTATTCATATTGAAATTAAATAACGGGTTCAAGCTCCAATGTGCTTGTTCTTGTGCACTGAAAGTTTTTCAAAGAATTTTCCTGGCTTTAAGCATCTTTGAATTAGTTTTTGATTGAAGTATTCGTATTTTTTAATGATTTTCTGAGGAAGCCTTGACAAATTTGATATTTCCAACTGAAATGGCTATTTCACTGTTCACGGCTGTTGCCGAAACGTTAAACGATATGTGTGTGACAGAATAGAAGAGTGTAACAAAAGAATAGTGTGAGTGCAAAGAGTGTGTGGAAAAAAAGAGATAACATATATTAATATTAAGATTTGTGAAAATGAGAGGACACAAATTCACTTTCATAGGAAGTTTTTGAATTCACATTGTGGAATCCAAACGTGAAAATATGAGCTGTATAATAATTAAAGGAAATTTAAAAAACAAGTGAAATTTTTTCATCTGAACTTTGCTCTCAGCGAGGCAACTTTTTATTTTAAAAGTATACGAAAAAGACAAGGCCAAAAAAGTAAAAAAGAAAAACAGTATCAACAGGTGCTAATTGCAATAATTTCAAGCTACCAACATTTTGAATAATGTATGGGAAACAATTGATACGAATACATACATATGTATGTGTAACTGCCTATAGACGTATACTATATATATATTTATATGCCCAAATGTTCAAAGAAAGCATGCAAATCAATAATTGAGGTTTTTATATTATAATTAATTACAGTATGAACAAGTAGACTGTCAGTAAAAGTGCGGTGAAAAATGGTAATAAGTTTATGATTTTACGAAGGGCTTAATAAAAGTTCGGTCAGTTGGTGACTTTCAATTTGTTTTTGTTAAATCTAAAAATACTAAATTCTTTGTATCAATTTTGTTACTCTTCTATTCAAATTTCAGAACGATCGGCTAAAAAGGAGACGAGAAAATGCAAGATAGTTGAGGGTGGATCAAACGGAGCTTCACTACCAACTCAGACAGAAAGTCGCCATATGATTGGCTTCGGGCTTCAGCGAAATTTATAGTCAATAAAAATATTCAGTGAGTGCCAAATTGCATATGGAACAACGGCATTGTCTTTAAAGATTGTTTCTAAGTCGTTCCGAAGATTCCAGTCCGGACATTTTACGTAGAAGACGAGTCCCGAAAAGGTCGACCAAAATCTTCCACTAATGACGTCACTGTAGCTCTGGTGAAGTCCAAAATTGACGAAGACCCTCGATTGACATAAAAAACAATTCTTAATGAATGAATGCCATAGCTGTATCGCAAATATTAAGTAATCCTCTGGGATGCTCGAAGAAATCTGCTCGATGGGTACCACATGTGCATTTCGTTCAATTTTTCCTAAACAGATTCGAAATGCTCAGTTTAGTAAAGCCGTTGCTGCTGACGAATCTTGGTTCTTTATGTAACAGAGACCGAACAACATGGTTTGGTATTGTATGGAGCCCAACACGAGCTTATCCAGCTTTAAAACTTAGGCAAAAAAAAAACAACAGGAAAAGCAATGATGCCAGGTTACTTAACTCGATCTCAAATCGTAGCTGGTATTCTACACGAAAAGGATCCGGACGGTAACTACGAAATGGTACACCGAAGAATACTTACCAGAGGTTTTCAAAAATTTGTTGGAAAACACGAATAAAGAGGATTTGCGGTGCTACTTTTTACATCATGACAACGCGCCATCTCACACTGCTGAAATAACGAGTAATTTTATTGCGCCCAGTACCATATTCCTCGGGTATGGCACCTCATGATTTTTGGTTATTTCCAAAAATAAAAAAAAAAATTTAAAAGGAAATGTCTTTCATAGCAACGTTCAGATACCTAAAGCGGTTAGTGTTGAGGTTGATAAGATTAAATAGCAAGATTTTGAAGACTGTTTTCAGTAGTGGACCTATAGGCTTAAGAAATGCATTGAAATTAGTGGCGACTACGAAGAGATGATGAAAAAGGTCAAAGATTACGAGTAAATACAAAACGATTTTTTTCTTTTGTAGTCAGCTTAACGAACTTTTGGTTAGTCCCCCGCGTATGCAGAATTTAATAATTTAATTTTTTAGTTAAAAAAGTGGAGAAATCTCTATGTTAACTTTTAACTAGAGCTAATTTTTAAACTTTCAAAATTTTTAGAACAAATATATTAAAAGCAAATACACAAAATATTTGAGTTATGAACCCTGAAATGGACTATGAATAAAACTCCTAGAAAGAATACTCATCTTATCGAACTCATAACGTTGCGTTCGACCTCAGGGCGTCCCGGCAGTTAAAAAAAGCAGCAAATCTTATTAGCAGACAGAAAAAGTGATTTGCCTGCAACTACCTGGAAACCTAAACAGGATATTGATAATCTATGTTCGAAAGTAAACTGATTTTTCGTCTTAACGACATCTACAAATTCAAGCAGCAAAATCATAGGCTCACCTTTTTAACGGCACGAACTTGATGCGAAAGTTAACTCCGACATTATATAACCGAAAATTACTGAGAGTCACATTTGACAGCTTGACCAACTTCACTCCGCAAACGACAGCAATCGTCATTCAAGTACAAACTTCTCAAATCTTTAGTGGGCAGTACCTGGGATAAAGACGTTGCTCGCAACATACCTGGCAGTTTACTGAACGCCGGGTACTAGCGAAACGCAGAGGAAGAAGCTATAAGGATGTGAAAACACCTTTCTTAGGACAGAAAACCTTCGATGTCACTGAAGAAACACTCCGACAACGAAATATAAATAAATGCTCCAAGTTAAAAAGAGAAAAATGTTATACTGTGTCAGTAATATCAGGTTCATCCTAATAGGCACTTTCTTCTAGCGGAGCCTCCACCCGGGATTATCAGAAAAAAAAGTACTTGACTACAACGATTCCTTACCTTCACTAGCTCTTTTATTGTGAAGGGGTTTTTTGGAATCCGAGCACCTTCTATTGTAGACGCTTTAGTCGTGGCGAAGCTAAGGACGCTAGTATTGAGGGAAGACTTTAAATTATGCGAAGAAATTGTAGACAATTTTGTCAGGTGCTATTTTAGACTTAGTAGGCTCTCATACTAAGCTCAAAGTTCAAACTCGGCAAGACATTCATACTACCTGTCCTCCAATATGGTGCAGAAGCATGGAGGATGACATCGTTTGATGAAATAGAAGCAGTAGTTATTGAGAGAAAGGATTCATAACGTTAATTAGGACATTTCAACAAAGTGGATGAAAACGCACTAGCTGAACCAGAGGAAAAAAAGACTGCCTCTAAGCTAAAAATATGTGATGGAGAAGAACTTGAAGTTGGTTTCCCCTGAAAACTCCGATAGGCGTCAAACAGAGAAAGGCACAAGCCACCGGAACTGGTTCTACTACTGCCTTGACTAAAGTGTTGTGATTGGTCCCAACGAACACTTAGGAGAGAGAAAACCCACTGCCAAAATAACCTCGCTCATAATGAACATGAGATTTAATGCAATATTACAGTTCTCCCCTACTAAGAGATGTTTACAACCACAAGCAATCGAATATTAGCAATTTTACCGCTTAATCGAGGACATCGAAAAAATATTAAGTAAATATATAAAACAACGGCCGCAATAGCTGGGTGGCTAGCACTGCGCACTATCATTCTGAAGGCCAGAGTTCGAGTCATCCCAACTTATAGAAAATACATTCTTCTAATCGCGCTCATCTCTCGGTAGAAAATCAAAAGCTCCTCATAGGAATCCATCCGCCCTTTGGAACCGGCCAAGAATAAACCGTGGGTCTCACCATCTGTTGAAAAAACATCAAGGTGCACAAGACTTGATCCATCTCTATCTATCTACTATCCGATTCCGGCCATGAAAAATCATTATTACAATCCTCTCATTTTCGAAAACCATACCATAGTTACACGTTGAGGTTTGAAAGGCTTTCCAGCAATAATTCTTGGGTTTTCGGAGCCGCAGATGCTATAGTTTTGCTTATTGACATATCAGGGTGGAAATAATCAGTCGAGATGATTTTTCGGTGAAATTTTTGTGGTGAATTTTAATGATTTCAATGCGTTGTTGAAGCGTGTATCGTTCCATTTTTATTACTGGCGTAGTATTGACGGCTTTAAAAGTGACAGCTAGCGGAATGTCAGACTATTCAAAATAACACCGCTTATAGGAAAACCCTTTACATATATGTTTGTGTATGAATATATGAAACTCTTATCGTTTTATTGAATTATATTTTATTCGATTGCTTGCGTTTTTATAAAATATTTTAATTCACATAAATATACATAAATCTGTATGAATTAAATCAATGAGATTAATTAATTGAATCCCATCGACTTTTTTGGAATGAGCGTTTGAAGTAAATATGTTTTACGTATATAAAAATGATATTTTAATTGCTTAAATGTGGAATGTGGAATGTGGGTGGCTTGTGCCCTTAACTTACAACAAATATTTCACACAACAAAAGCTGTGCGCCGCAATAATTGCCTTTGGCTGCTGCACACTCTTTTATATGTATGTATGTATTTGCGTAAAAATTACTACTGAAACCTGAGATTAACTTATTTTATAGCAATTAATTTCACATAAAAATAATTGCACATAATCATAACTGTATATTAATTACTGCTTAATGAGTTAAGTTACTAAAAAACAATATTCAATGTTGCAGCTTTGACTGACTGCAAAATGCCTTTGGTGATTAATTGACTGTTTGTGTGGTGACAGCGTTTTCTGCCTCTTCTTCTTCCACGCTTTCATGTTTGCGAAATAAATAAATAAAATTATTTGTATTTATTTTTTTATGAAATAAATATTATTCGCTTTTCTTTATTATTGTAGTTTTTTTTTTAATTTTTTTTTTTTGTTTATTTTTTAAATTTGCTTTTTTGCATTTTTGCATTTTTGCATTTGCTTCTTGCTTTCATTTTTATTTTTTTGTATTTGGTATCGCATAGTTTTCACTAACTAAAAACTAAATACTCGACTATAAATAAATATTTATAATATACAGTTATTCTGCGTTTTTTGTTTTTAAATAAATTAACTAAAATTTAGTCATTCTCATGTTGATCAGCGGAAAATGAGTGAAGAAACCGATCAACTTTCAATAAATAGTTATAGGAGAGACAGGCAGAGGCAGCGGTGAGGAATAGGATAGCGTGATGAGGAGTTATTTAATAAAGCTAGCTAAATTTAGTCTAGCGGCGGGTTGGTGCCGTAATCGTTTCGTGCTTGTCATTTTGTCGGTCTGCATCTACTTTGCTATTGCGGGCATTTAGAAGGGTTGAGCCAAACCATATTGATTGTAGGCCAAATCAGAGGCAGCAGCTTGACCGTTGCGGTTCCAATCGGAGTGCACGATCTCAGCGTTCAATGGGCTGCCGGTGATGTAAGCGGTGGTGATGTGTTCCTTCTTCTTGCCCAACAAGTCCTTGAAGAAAGTGGCGCCTAAGGAGAGGAGGAGAGACAAAAATTAATACAAGTGAAAAAACTAGCTCATAAAAAGTGGTAATTTTTTTTTTGGTAGCCCTACGCACCAGCAAGGATAAGAGCCAAAATGGAGACGGCCAAACTCTTGAGCGAGATGAATTTAATGATGCTGAAAGCAACCTTGCAGAGTACGGCCTTCTTCAGCTTCAAGATCAGGAGCAGAGGCAAGAGCATCTTCTTCATTTTCTTGCTGCGGGATTCTGTTGGTGCAAAAAAAGCGAAAATAACATTTTTTAGTTTTGCTAAAAAATTCAATGAAAAACTTAAAATAAAACATAATGCGGTAGGGAATAAAAACTTTCTCAGTTATAATTAATGCTTGCAAGTTGATGGATCAAACTACCTAAAGTGGCAAGTTGCGTGCGCCTGCAAGTATGCAAGAAATTCATGGCAAAACTTTTGCAAAATGCTGCGTGGGACAGTGCTGCCAGCTTAATGTATTAATGATGGATTTATCAACACTAAAGAGTGATGTTTATAAGACATCTGAGCTGCTTTTGTATACCTCTTATATTATATATCTATAGTGCGGGCCTTAACGGCGTCAAGTAGGTATTGACTTATTAATTGGGAAGAAATAGAATTTGAGTGTTTGTTTCTTAGTTTTAGAGTTAAATCTTTCCGTTTGTCTTGCTTGTACAAAAATTTCTTAGATAATCGTAAGCTCTTTAGCATAAAGAGTCTCTTAGAAAAAATCCACTTTTCGTCACTCAAACGACTGATTGAAACTGACAAATAATTAAGTTTTCTTGGCACTTAGTAAGCTACACATGACACGCCACATTCGCACGCAGTTAAATCTGTGACAAATGGCAACCTTGGCCTCTGCTAATGCCATCAGCATTATATGCGAGCGTATGTGACTGCGCTAGAAAATGCGGTTGACGAAAAAAAACATCCTAAAAGTATGCAAAACAAGCACATTGACGCCAACACATAATGCATGCAACAACAACAACGCAAGGCCATAAACAACTTTTTCTACAAGAAAGTTGTTAAATGCGATGGCAGCATAGAAGTGGTTGTATGTGCTTTACACATACAAAACGCAGAAGAGCAAAAAGTGCAGTAGTTTGGTGAGAGAGGCAATGACTTTCAACATTATTAGCAGCTAACTCCGAAACAAGTTTACTCGCTGCACGCTGTTGATGTTGTTAATGTTTATTATTGTTGTTGTGGCGAAAACACCGTAATCTGTGTATGTGTTGGCGCGCACTGACAGTGTTGAAAGGTGCAAAGTGTGCGTGGAAAGATAAGCGTATGTGGAAGAAAGTTGCAAACAAACTTTAAGCATTCAAGTTGGACTTAAAGCTGTAGGTGACGTAAGTTAATGCTTCGCTATAGCTTAAACTTTAGAATGAGCTACTTTGTAAGCATAATTAGCGGAAATGCGTATTAGCGGTAGTTTGTTGCCATACAACATTGTGGGCATCTCTTTTTCGTAAATTATTTGTATCACAATTTTCAAAATAGTCATAACTTGTTCTCTGCTAGACATACATCAAGTGTATGCTTTATTACACATATTGCACATTTGCAGCATGTAATAATTGTCACTTTGTTTTCTTGCCTCAAAATGTTGCAAGTTAACGCATTTCTGACGAGAGGTAGCTCAAGATCTTTTTTTTAATTAATTTCTGTGAGGTTTTAGCTGCATTATTTTGTTGTGCGCTTTCCTACTTTATATAGCCCTTGAATCTGAAATGAGCTTTTGAGCGAAATTTCCTTTCCACTGTTGAGATGATGAGGTGTAGTGGGGCGGTAAACGTTTTTTGAAAGCACATTTTTTTCCTAACAATAAACAAAGGGAGGTGAAATATAATGATTTTTGTTTAAATTTTGTTCAGAAAAATATCTTAGATTTTTAAAATAATTAATAATAATAATAATAATAATAATAATAATAATAATAATAACAGTAATAGTATTAATAAGAAAAAATTTAATTATTTGAAACTTCTAGTTTTTTTTATGAATATTCAGTGCTTTAGGGAAAATTTTATTGAAATAAAATTTTAATGAAAAAGTTTTAAGTAAGGACAAAAAAATTGTATATACTTTATTACTTCATATAAATATTTTCTTTAACGAATTTTCATATTAATCCCCATAGGAAGTGTAAATAATTAAAATTTTGGGCATTTAAGAGACTTTCAATCAAAATTTTTAGTTTCAATGAAATATGTCTAAAGTACTAAGTCATTTATTTTTTATTATTATAAAAAATCAAGTAACTTTCTTTACAATTTTTCCTCCAAATGCAAACTTTTCAACTATTAAATATGCAAGGCGACAAGCTAACTCCTGCCCAAGCGCCTGAAAGCACACTACAACTTTCTATAAAACGCAGAGTAGGACAATTGTTTCTATATAAGAGATATGTAGAATATGTATGCATAGCTAAGGATAGCAAAGCAAAAATACCCAACAATTTATGCTTGCTGCGTCAACAGAAGTAAATCCTTGGAGTCAAACAAACACTCTTTTCGTTTTCTTTTGGCTTAAAAGCACGCAAATGAGTTTGGAAAATGTAGCAATAGGCAAAAGTTACCAATTTCAGCACATAAGGAAACTATTGTGCTAACTTAAACGAATTTCCAATGAACTTACGGATGAGCTGAGCGGTTGGTATGTGCATTTGGTGTGTGTGGAAGCGGCATAACAAGCTAAGCTAAGTTTACAAATCTCCTTTGGTTTGCCACAAAGGACACATAAGCACAAACACACGACTAAGCAAGGATAGTGTTCAGGCAAAAGTTAAATATACAAAGGATAACTATGTAGTTTTGTGGGAGTATTTAACAGCGGTATTTATGTCAATTTCATAGATGCATTGCGTTGTGTATAAAAGCCAATGAAGTTGAGAGGCTGCCAGCAAAGGACAACTTACTATAGAACATAGTTGTTGTGCTTTATCTTTAGTAGTTTAAGTCTTAAAGAGTGGCCGAAAAGTGCTGAGCATGATTTTCTAAATTTACTACACTTTAGTGCTTAACGAATTGTTGTTTTGTTAACGATTATAAAATGTAGTACATTTAAGCAAAGAAAGCTATTTTCTGCAGTTAAAATCTTGAGAAAGCCAGGGCAGGTATTCAAGTTGAGACTTAGCCACACTTTTACAAAGCTTTTATAAATTTCAGGAATTCTAGGAAATTAAATTTTCGTCTGACAATTATATGTATGTGTATGATTTCGTACAGTAGATCGATATGCTTTGAGGCTCGAAAGGCTGAAGAAAATGCTAAACTACAAATAATTATGCTACAAAGTAGCCAAGTAGAGAGTGTAGTTACAATGAAAAGGTGCTAAGACATACATACATATATAAAGCTATATTACTTTTTGCATATACATAAATATGTATATGCGCACTACATAACGGTATTGCTCAGCTAGAAGATTACAGAGTTCTTTGTGCCCAATTGCAGCAAAGAGGGAAAAGGCATAAAGGCATAGGTAATCATATTGCCACAAGTCCATATATATATATATATATGTGTCTGCATGCTTGTATATACCTGCAGGTGAATGCCTTTTGGTATGCATGCATATTTGTATACATATATTGTACAAGGTTCAATAATAGTCAACACCGATTGCAATTGCCAAGTTGCAGACAGAAAGTATAGTCTCCAGGTAGTAATTGTTGTTAATACATATGTACGCATATGTGCATGCATACATATGTTTATGTGTATGTTCTGTTCATGTACGGCATGCGCTCTATTTTCGCACACATATGTACATATATTATTTGTATACATGTATGTGTACTGAGATAGAATTTTCCTTCGTTTATAGTTATGTATAGATACATTTGTATGCATGTATATATGTATGTTTTTATGATTGACATGTATGGCAGTACAGTAATTGTATGTCCATCATGCATATCGTAAGAGTATAAGGTCGTAATTACCGTTACAATTATTACTCAATTTAGGTGGTGTCAAAGTTCACAACACACATTCACATGCAATCGTACGTAAAGCTTGATGAAAATGGTGTCATCACATTTATGGTGAATGCACTTATTTACATTGAAATTGTATGGCGTTATTGGTGTTGTTGCCCAGTCTGGTAGGCGACATTTATAGCGGTTTATGGTATTGCAACTAACTTGCTATTGATTTATGTATGTATGTCATGGCAAATAATGCGACGTACAACCGCATTCTTTTATGGGGTGCAAAGTGCCGAAGCTATTATATTGTGCAGCGGATTTTCGTGCTCGTGGTTGGTTTTTAAAAGTTTGACAACAATGTTGCAAGTGGCGTTTTTGAGAAGGAAAACACACATACACACAAAAGGAGATAATAATAAATTGAGCTAGAAGATGATATGAGAAATTTGTGAAATTTTAGCAGAGAGTATATTTAAATAAATATGAGTTTTTAGTAAAAAAATGTGAAAGTTAATTTGTTAAAAAAATATTAAAAAATTAGAGAAGTCAATTTTACAAAAAAAAAAAAATATATATATATATTTAATATAGCTTGAAGTAAAATAACTTTAAAATTTTTGAAGTAAAGTTTTCTAAATATAAAAAAATGAAAAGAATTTAACTGGCAGTTATTGAGAAAGTAAGTACATGAGGCGCGATAAAATAATTAAGTAATTAATAAAAATAATTATAATAATAATAATCCTAATATTAATAATAATAATAATAATAATAATAATAATAATAATAATAATAATAATAATAATAATAATAATAATAATAATAATAATAATAATAATAATAATCCTAATAATAATAAAAATAATAATAATTTTACTAATAAAAAGAATAATAATATTAATAATGAAAGTATTAACTAAATTTATTTAGAGTAAAAAATCTTTTAACAGATGTTAGTAAAAAATTGACTTTTTAAACAAAAAAGTTATATTCTAAATGTATAGAATTCAACAGTCTCGTTACAAAACAATTATTAGTTTTAATTAAACTCAAATTATGCATGGATTTTTTATCTAAAAATAATTTTAATAAAATCTACCGCATAAATAATAAAAATATAATTTAGAATTTTTTTTTGTCATAGACATTTTAATATAAAAAATTATATTAATTAGCGATAGTTAAAAATATTTTTTTAGAAATCATTTTTGTTAATATAACTAGGTGTACATATTTTAAATGTTATTAATTAAAAAATACTGCATTTTTTGAATAAATTAAAATTATAGTTATGAATTTTGGCTTATTTAAAAAATACAGTGAAAAATACTTAGAAAATTAATAAATATATAATTTTTTTTATGTTTTTTTTTATAGAGATTTGTATTGATTTAAGCGAAAATCAAATTTCCTTTCAAAAATGAGGTAGAAAAATGTGTTGATTTTAAATTTCGAAAGAAAATTGTATTCAGATTTGTCAAATGTGCCAGAATGAGAGTTAAAATAAAGACATAAAAAACTTGTGTAATTCTAAATTCTATTGAAACGTTATAAATATAATTAATTTTAAGTTTTTGTAAAGTGAAAAAAAAAATTATTAATATTAGTATCGGGTTTTCTCACAATATGTTCGGTCAGGAGAAATTTTTTTTAATTTATATAGGCATTGACCACTTTTCAAAATATCAACCTGGAAATTAATTTGATTAAATTGAAATATAATTGAATTAATTTAAAATAAAATTTTTTTTTGACTTCAAAAAGCGTTGTTTTTTTTAGCAAATATTTTAGAATTTGAAATTATGTTTTTCGTTAGTGAATGTAAATATTTTTATATTAATTTTTTTTTAGCATTCTTAGGACTTTAATATTTTTTAGTTAATTATTTTGTTTTATAACTTTTAAATTTCTTTGTTGTTTGTGTTATCAAATTATCGTTGTAATTTAAATTCAATTGCAAGTATTTTAGTTTTACTTAATTTGTGTGTTATTATTTCTTGAATATATTAATCTATTTTTTTCCATATTCATTTATTTCAAAAATATTCCCTTACCCTCCATGGCACGACCGGCATATTCATATTCGGCCTCCTCATCCTCATCGCCGGGCAGACCGAAGTTCAGTTCGTGTGTGGCGAAATAACGTTCGACACGTTCCTCGACCGATTCAACACCGTTAACGGATGCGCCGAATGAGCGACCAGTTTCCGTACGTTCCACACGAAGACCACCGAAGAGTGGCACTGAATCGGCACTGTCGATTCTATTGATCAAACCAATTACATCCTTTTCGCTATTATCCAATTGTTGTTGTGATGGTAAAGCGACGGCGCTGCAGACGAAGGAGGCGATGAGTACGGCACAAACGAATTTCGAACACATTTTTGTTGTTTGTTTGGTTTATTTTTTTGAAGATTTTGCTGTTTTTAAAACACACAAATATATTTTTTATTAGTTAATTAATTAATTAATTAAACCGTTTTTGATTATATTTGTTTTAATGTGGTTTGATCACACACAGAGCACACACCGTTTGAAGGTTGAAATTGTTTTGTGATTGATTAAGTGCCAAGCACGAGTATTTATACGAGGTGAATCCATACGACAATGGATTGGTATAAAAATCGAATTGAATTGCGGCGATCGGTAATTGAAATGTCTGTATGTTTGTTTGTGTGAGTTTATTGAGCAGTGTCGCAGTGTCGCAGTGTCGCCATGGCCAAAGCCGTGCGACGTAAAACCGAAAAAGTTCCAGTATAAACTTTTTCCAATTCCTATTTTGTCTACTAGAAATCGGAAAGTAAGTAAGTATGTAGATAAGAAAACGAAATATATATATTTATGCAAACGCCAAAGTGCGCAACACCAATGAACACAGCAACACGTACTTGCATACAAACTTCTGCGACAATTGTTGAAGACACGCAGGCAGCCAGGCGGGCAGGCAGGTAGACATGTCGGCGAACGGGGGCTGTGCGGTGTGTTGCTAAGGCGTCAGGTACGCAACGTTTGCATTACAAATAAGTAAAATTCAAATTGTCACTAACGCTGACGCCGCCCGCTGCCCGCTGCCCGCTGCCCCCACCCACCAGCACTAGCCGCTGGCGATTTTTGGACACCGAATCCGTTGCTTGCCTTTGATTACTTTCGACACACATTTTCAAAGTGTGTAAAAATTTTCTTGCCCATAACTGCATGATTGCTAACAGCAACAACAGTTTTTTTTTTGTATTTAATAAACCTGAAAAAGGTTAGCGTAACTACCAACGAGCGCCAAATTCAGTGTCTGTCTTGACTTCATTTCCTTTCTTTGGCTGTTTTTGTTGCTACACCTGCCACCCAAACGAAAGGGAAGTCATCGCCTCACACAAAGCCAGCCATGACACTGGCGCGCCAACAACAGCAAATTAGAAAGAAAACGAAAAAATAAAATTAACATAAAATTATATTTTAGTTGCAAATGTCCTATATCAGTGAAATTGTTGTTACATTTTATTGACATTAATATGCGTCACGTATGTCTCGATGGATATGTGTCACACGCATAATCACATACACCCACCCGTAAACACATACATAGATACGTAGCCATAAGCGCTTTTACGTGATTTTATTCAATTATGATTGCTGACCGCTCGACGATGGTCGGCCAAGCCTCAGTCGATCGTCTGAGGAGGGTACCCCGAGCGGCGGGCGGTTGTCTGTTCCAAATTCTTTATCATAAATTTTGTCACACACACACACACACACATATACGACTGTGATCACTCAACAAATTGCATTAACTTCTTCATTTGTCGCTAAGAAAGTCAGCAGTTTATTAATATTTTGTCGGTGTGCCTTAATGGCAGTTTTATTGTGTGTATGTACATATGTACATACATATATATAGGAATGTTTAGTGTGGTAAAAATTCTTCAATTATTCGTGTGTGAACGGTATTTCCAACTATCAGTATTTCGTCAGTCAAAAACAAGAAAGTACATGGCGTAGCAACTCCCAGCATTTGTCCACTTCTGGGCATATGCACACCAATACACACACAGGCAGACCATTTCAGGTAATTGACATTCTATTTCTGTATTTGGTTTTATATGATTTGACATCTTCCCAACTTGTCTCTCTCAATTACCTGGATTATTTTCCACATACCGTTCGATATTCGATTCCGTTGCTTTCGATTTCAATGAAATTTCTTTTTCCTTTCGGCATTTCGTATTCTTGTTTATTTGCTTAGTAGGTTGCTACAGTACAATATTTTTGTTAGAATATTTGTTAAGCATTTAGGGTTATATCTTTTACGCTAATAAACACTGTTTTTGTCACACAAACTTTTTGATGATTTTTGTTTCTGTGTTTCTTTGATTTGCGTATCCTCAATTAGAATGTACAGGTTTCCCTTATAAGCTCCACGAATTCCATCTGTGAGGCCTTGAAATAAAGTTGGCCTGTTGTTCTGTTGCCATAGACTTTATCTCTCACGTCGCTCAAAGGGCACAAGTCAGAAGAAGCTAAACTACAAGACCGCGGGGGCCAATTCCAATCACCTCCACGAGAGATAACACGGTCCGGAAATCTTTCTCCTAAAAGATCGATGATTTCGTTGTTTGTGGGGTACACAGCGCCGTCTTGTTGAAAGTAAAAATTGTCCACATCAACATTATCCAATTCCGGCCATAAAAATCATTCATCATCTCTCGATAGCGCAATCCATTCACAGTAACTCTAGCGTCATCCTCATTTTCGAAAAAACCACGCCGGACCATAAGCCGAACAAATAGTTACACGTTGAGGATGGGGTGGCTTTTTAACCATAAATCCTCGGTTTTTCGAGTCTCATATGCGACAGGTTTGCTTATTGACATAGCCATCGAGGTGGAAATAGGCCTCATTAGTCAAGATAATTTTTCAATGAAATTTCGGATTACTTTCAAGCATTTCAAGAATCCAAACAGCAAAGACACGACGTTCTTGATGCCTTAAGGCCGAAGTCTTTATGCAGAATGGGACGACGAATGGACAAACCTGTGTTTTCTTCAACACTTTGGGCTAAAACAGAAATATTCCCAGTTGTTCTTGAGCGATGGGCTCATGTTTTATTCTTTACATCACTAACTTGTCCCAAATGCTTCTTATTTTTATCCAAATTTCTGTATTGCGAACCGACAATTTGCTTCACGACGACCGAAAATTATTTAGTTTTACGAACCGTATTTTTCAGGTTTTATTTCATTAATATTTTCAATGCGCTGTTGAAGCGTGCATCGCTCCATTTTTAATAATGGCGTAGTTACTACTTGTCAAATGACACCCATAAACTCATTTATTCCTGTTCCCATGTTTAAAAAAAAAACCTTATATATATAATATAATACCATCCATACTTGTCTTCGACCAAAAGACTCGTTCTACATATATTCGATCTACTCAGAGAGATATGGTATCTCAAGAAAGGTACCCAAGTTATGATCCGTGAACTTAAGGAGGAGGAAATATTTGTAGATCCACAAATACGCCATATGATAAGGTACAATACCTTCGAATGAAAACAGAATAACCAAAAAAATTTTCGTTCCAATGTTTTTTGAATATTATCCAGAATTTTCCTGCAAAACAGATACCTGACAAAAAATAAGGAATTGACTTATAATGTCAAATAAGTTCATCTCCAGCATGTGATTTGACTAAATTTCTTTCCGACGAATTTGTGTGCTATGAGTTTCCAAGAAGGTGAAATGTGCCAACAAAACATTTTCTCATTGCACAAGCGTTACCACTGGATATGAAATCCAAGAGTGGTATTTATTGTAAGTCAAGCAATTAAATAACTAAAATATTTGTTTTTTTCTGAAAACCGTTTTTTTAAAGTCACTTTAAAACCTCATATCTACGTATTATCTCATTGATATACAAATCTAGTATTGCTTGTTACATACATTCAAAATCTGACATAAGTTTCCATGTAAGAAAAAAATTTTCAATTTTGTTGACCAGTGTAATTAGCCATAGAGATTAAAGCTCTTAAGTTGTGCATACTTAACTGAAAGTTTAGGAAATAGTCCGAAAGAATTTATCGATGCTTTTGGGAAGGTAGCTTAGTACAAAAATATTAATTAATTGAAGAAATTGTTATTGACATTGATATTGACACAGAAATACTTGTAAGAGTCGCATACAAAAGACATCCTCTCAATTACTGTTCACTTAATAATGTTAATTAATTTTTTTCGATTTTTGTTTTAGTGCACAAGATAGTAAATTTACATGTTGAAATGCTTTTTCGCAAATTTAGTCTGTTACTACGTCCTTTATTTTATAAATAATTGAAATTCTGCTTTCATAGAGAGACACTTATCATCCGATTATAAAATTTTTTTTCCATATCCACTTATGGGAAGTACATATGTATATGGAGCTGATCTGCGATCTGGTAACTTTAAACTAAAATCTAATTCAAATCGAAGTGTCAAATTAATTGCCTTGCTGGTCTGCATTACATTCACTTAGAAAGGGTAGGTTCCTTGTTATTGAATGAGTCGACATTGAATGCTGATTCCTGATGAATTTGGAGAAGAAAAAAAGTAGAAAAATTAAAGAGAAGAAATTTATGTTGTATGGCCACACGTTGTTGGCACTTACTGAATTTTGTTCAATATACAATATATGAGGTCTAGTAAAAAGTAATGAATGATTTTTACAATAAATTAAAAAATTAATTTAAAATAGTAAGAATTATGTAAATTATGTGAAATATGCAACGTTTTGATCTATAGCTTCTCGCCTTTTTGATAGTAATATCATTATGCCTAACCCATAGAAACTTGTATCCCTATAAGAAAACAAATTGGCACCATCGATTTTCACAGACTACTCTTGACCCCAATTTTTCAACAGCCAAATCATTCGCCATAGCCAGGACCAGAAGGGTATTCACTTAATGCGGGATCAGTAATATACGAAATAAGATCTTCCCAACCAAGCTCTTGAAACTTCGGGCGAGTCACGGTCCTGAAGAAACGCGTTTCCCCTCCTAATGGCCAGAGCTGGTCTTTATTGGACCGTTCGCTCCTTCAGACGGTCCAATTACTGACAATACAGGTCTGAGTTTGGCTAAAGAGAAGCAACTTGAAGTGGTGGATTTCTTGTCAATATTATAATAAATATTGTAAAGAAGGTAATACGTAATGAATAGTGGACAGTTCTAATTAAGATTCAATTAGTGCATACTTTTAAATTTCTTATTAAATCACTGTTCTTACTGAGTATTTATAATATGTACAAAAATCTTGAAAAAACAGGGACCGTGTTAATTTTTACCTGCTTAGAGTGATACTTATTAGAAATAGTCAGATATTAGTCACCTTTTCGCTATTCAAGCTCTTAGTACCACTATGGATGCAACGGCATTGACAGGAAGGGTTTCACAAAATCGACAGATCGACGAAAATTAATATGATTTTAATGTAATGCGACTAAAGATTGTAAAGTCAACGATTCATAGATGTGCTAAACACTTCCTGGAAAGAAAGCATTTCATACGAAATTTTATAAAATCAAGCCTGCTCTGTAGCCCAATTCTAGAAAGAAAATGTAGTGTTTGTGTTTATCTAAACAAAAATATTCCTATCAGCCCGATTTCGAGGAAGTAAAACTTTTTCAAATGGGCCAGTTTTTGGTCAATTTTCAGAGCTGGCACATTAATTTCAAGATCAAAATTAGTCAAATCGGTTCAGGTATTTTCCAGTTTTAGCTCGACAAGCCAACAAGAATTGATTTTTACGGAATAGATAAACAGGTATTCGTATAAGCCTGCAATCTGTGGAGGTGTATAGTGTATCAGAGTGGCAGAGCTAGTATTCAAAGGCATCGTGTCAGTATTTTCGGAGTCTATAGGCGACATAGATACATTCATATCTGCCTCTTTTAGATATGCCTACTTTTTCTTAATTGGCTTACGTGATTATAACTGAATCAACGATGAATCATGGCGTCTTTCCCTGCTTCCATCAGCGGGTACTGCATCGAAGTGAATTCATCCATTCGAACGTCATGACCTAGCCAGCATAGCGCTGTCTGTTTATTCGCAAAATTTATCAGTACAACCGCATAATTCGTACACTCGTTCCATTCTAATCTGTTGTATTTGCCATTGTCAATTACCATCTTTGGCAGAAATTTTCAGTCCAACTTTTTTGTGACTGAAGCCATTGGTATTTTTGGTATTTTTCTCATTAAGCAGTGATGCAAAAATAAAATATAACTAAAGTGGTGTCACTCTTGGCAAGGGTTTAGAGCTTACATATGATGCTAATGATTGCTATTTTAGCCGGGTATTTGATGCACAGGCAAATCCAAGAAGAAGTCAGCTATACCAATAAAAAACTGCCATAAGACCTGCGGAAGAAGAAACATACATCACCGAATCAGATAACTGATTACAGCTATATAGTGAAGTGGTAATGCTTACATCATTAAAAGAATTTGATTTGGCGCCGAGTGCCGAGTGGTTAGAGGTTATTGCTGTAACGCGTTAAGCTCCCGTTTCGAGCCCCGCTAGAGGTAATTTAATTTATAATTTTTTTTTTAATATTTGGTGAAACAGAATTTTTAGTTTGACACGGCTGAGTTTCATTTCCTAAAGACTTCTGTTGAAGTGCGCAGATTTCGTTCCTTCATATGTGATGACGTTAGTTTGGTGATTAGAGGTCTTCACTGTGGTGCGTGAGGGTCCCGGTTCGATTTTCGCAGCCGGTGAACTGAATTTTATTTGATTTAGTTTTTTCTTTTGCTGAAATAGAAATTCTAGTTGACAACTAGTATTTTCCCCTGCAGGGTTGTTGAGCATCTTTGTCTGATTTGGATTTGAATGTGCTTGGATTATGTCATTCGGGACTTCGTATTTCATTTCATAATCGCGAGTCATACTGAAAATTTTGAAAAAATATACCTTCGATAGAGTTAAATATTTTATGAAATACATTTTCATTTGAAAAGTTTTTTTTTAACTTTTTCCACAAAACCTGATGTGACGCTAATGTTTTGAAAGTGAATACAAAATTTAAGTATTTTCAGAATGCCAATGTACATACATACATATACATATACATATAAATAGCGCTAACAACCTCTTGTACAAACAAATAAGACTACTTTGTATGTATTTATGTAGTTTTAATGCAGAATAGAAAGTATTTGTTGCTGGAAAACCAGTTGAATGCGCAAATGAGTTTAAAGCATTTACATATGTACATACAAATATACTTATGTACATACATATATACTTGGTGGTAATGTAAAACAAACCAAACCAAAGCAACAAAGTAAGAATTATGTGTGTGCAATGAATCGTAAATTACTCGACGAACTAGCGGTAAATAAAATGCTCAAGTTGTTGAACTCACCTGAAGGGCGTTTTGATGCACTCTTTGAGTTCAGTTAGTCCGCTCTTCTCATGCTCTTCTGCAGCTTACGATTTTAGTTTAATTGGGAAGCGTTTAAATTGGTGTTTTGGTATTTTACCCAGAGTTTTCATTGCTGATGGTATTTTCAGATGATTTAGTTTACGGTGTTTTTGTTCAAGTATTTAATCGGGGTTGGAAAAAACATTTTTGTTAAGAAATGATGTGAGGGAGAGCCAAAGGTTGAGACAGGCAAAAGTAAAGGTTCGCTGTTTACGTAAAATGTTCCAGGTACAAATAATAAAATTACTCTAAAATGGAGGCGCGTGCTTCTTTGGATTGAAAAGTAAAGCCTCCTCCTGTCGAATAAAGACCAAATTTACAAGTCGCTCAGTCGCTCAACATACTGTTCCTACTATATAGTGCGGAGGCATGGCCGATGACAACATCTGATGAGTCGGAGTTAGGACTTTTCGAGGCAAAAGCTTTGCGAAAGATTTATGGTCCTCTGCGAGCGAGTACTGTAGCCGAAGGAGCGATGAGCTGAACGAGTTATACGACGACATTCACATATCTCAGCGAATCAAAAGACAGCGGCTACTCCGGCTGGGTGAGGTAGCCTGAGCGAAGTCTACACCAGCAAGAAAGAAGAAATGAGAGTCACCTGCAGAGATCTGGGTCTAAATTTTTCTTCGCTATCATAATTTCGAAAACAATATTTTTAATTTTTTAAACCTTGTTTTGAAAATTGATACAGTTTTTTTCTCCATCATTAAATTCAAACTAATTTTGTTAATTCTGTAAATGAAAAAATTTTGTGAATTTCAAACACAAAACATATTTACACTTTATTTTCCTTCGTTTTTAAATAAATTACTAAAAACTATATAGTACACATTAAAATAAAAAATATAAATTAAATTTTAATGAAGGCACATATTTAGCATTTCCCATGCAACAGTAAAGACCCCCGTTTAAGCGATAGCAAAATACTTTCCAATTAATGCTCCTCCTCATCAGCCAAAGCAGGCGCTTGTTCGCTATAAGCCAATTGTTGAGCATCCAAGCTGCGTGCATATGGATAGGATGATGACGGAGCCGACGACCAACCGGCATTGCTGGCACCAGACCAGCCAGCATTGTAGCCACCGCCAAAAGCACCGCCGAATTTACTGCCCAAACCACCGAAAAAACGTGAACCGCTCACAATCAGAGCCAAGACCAAAGCAATCTTGGCCACAATTACAGCTTTGAAGGTGAATAGAGCCAAAGCGCCGAGTACGAGAGGGAGAACGGCAAAGAGTTTAGCGCCAATAGCGAGTGCAATGGGACCCAGCATTTTCTTCAATTTGCCGCGTCCTATACGAAATATGAGAGGAAAATAGTTTAAATCAAATTTAAAAGACAAAAAATCGTATTGTCTATAAGTAATCAAATGACAATGAATTTGTAATTAAATTCATAACTATTTGATTTTACCTTCATCAAGTGCACGTGCCATGTCTTGTGTGGCTTCGGCGGGCAACTTTACTTCCAGACTGTGGGAGCCAAGGAATTCGGCAACATTTTCCATAGCGATTTCTACCAAACGTCCGCTACGTTCATCGGCATTTTCGGGAAGTTGGGCGTAGATTTCATTTTCATTCAAAGCTTTGCCGCTGCGTGCCAGAGCAGAGGTGGAATCTCTGCAAGGAAGAAAATAAATAAAAAATATTAAAATTGGTTTTAGGTAAACTTTTTAGCTGAAATTGAAAATTTTATTGATATTTTAATAGCGATATTTTTGTTTTTAAAAGATTTTGAATACTTCTGTACTTTTGTTATTTCTTTTAGAATCTTCGTTTTATGATTCAACAACAATTTAGTTGTAATAAAACCTTTTTAGCTATATTAGGAATTTATTAGGAAAATCTTGAAAAAATCCTCAAAAATTGGATTGTGATTTAATTTATTTGAATACTTTTTTCTATCAAATATATGGAAATATCGAAATCAGTGAGCAAAATATGAAGACTTACCCTTGGCCTCGAAAATAGTGAAAATCACTTTACAATTTTGTTTACATATATACAAAACTTGGGTTAATTGTTAAGTCATTGAAGAGATTTTAGGAACATAAAGAGGGTTTAAACCGTTTATAAAATTGAGGTTATTTGTTTTCAGCACCACCTGTCAGAGTCAGTTTCAAATGCTTTACTATTTGTTCCTGAACTCAATGAATACGGACTTGAAACACGCTTTGCAGAAATGTCATCCACAGCGCCACCTGTTGTGTTTTTGGCATTTCTACTCACAGTAGATGCCAAGCAATTGAAATCCACCCTGGAAGGACTCTCAGCAGACGTAATCTTGCCTTAACTGAGTTAGTAGTGTTAAGGGTCTGAGTAGTACTGGGAGTTATCTTATATTTCAAAGAATGCCCTAAATGGGTTATCAAGGAATTCTTCTACAGCAGTTTAGACGAATTCAGTTTAAAGTTAATTTTGCTGTTGTAGCTGTTATTTTTTATTCTAAAAAGTGAAATTTGCATACAATTTCAATGCAAAGTGTATCTTTTAGATAAAGGGTGGAACGAAACGAGGTAAGGCTTTTACTGCTATTCACTTGGGAATGACCAGAAACGTTTCCTTTATAAATGGCTCGACTTCCGGGTTAAGGCCAATTGTCTTCTGAGTAGCTAACCAACATCCATTTGAAGGCGAGCTCGAGTGAGAAGGCGAATTCCCCTGCAGTAGTACGTAGAGTACTTGGAACCCACTACATGAAAAATGTACTCCAAAAAAAAATCACACAAAGTCTCGAATAAGAGAACGACGAACACCGCATTTGCTTTAAGGACCGCGATTTCTGGTCTCTTAAATGGGTAAGTGCCGCTGCCCAGCTGGTTTATATGCTGGTCTATGGACGTTGCCCTCTTAACTAGATTTACTGTAGTGATCAATGTCTTAAGGTGTAAAGACACTCTAGGATTTTGGAAAACGCGAATTATTTGGGTCCGAGAAATGATATGCAAATTGGTTTTATATTGAAAAAAAAAAAAAAATTCAAATAGTTGAATTTTTTATTTTGCTGCAGCTTCTCAGAGCGTGCGCTGAGGGCGATGAAAACATTAAACGCGTTTTTCTCAAAATCTCAGTTTGCAAACTGGGAGGACAAATTATTCGGACACTCTTGCATCGATTTATCTAAAATTTCAATAGTAGCTTCGCAAATAAATTTTTTATATATATTTTTTTTTTTTGGAATTTTAATAGTCGTTTTTCAATTAAATGTAAACTTTTTTGTTAAATAATTTAGCGCGTATTTTTTTTAGTAAGAAATCAATTTTTTTTAAAAAAGAAAAAATGCCGATTCCACAAAAATTAGTTAAAAAATAAATCCGTATGTACTTCCAAAGGCCATAGCTTGAAGATCATAAAACTTTTTGCTTTTCTGTTCTAGCTCTCATCCTTTAGAAGAAATCAGTTCTCCCGTGGACGCCTTTGAAAAAACATGCATTAAATAATGGACTTCAACACCGCCGTTTTGCAGCAAAATAATAATTAAAAAATATTTTTTTATACCTAAATTTATGTTCAATGAAATTGTTAAATAGAAATTCTATTCCTTTGCCATATTCCTACAATAAATTAAAAAAATGAGTCGATTTTTCAACCTCTAGAGTGGCTTTACAGGCTTTACGGTTCCTTCGATTGGTTTCAGTTTTACAATGAGGAAAATATACTTTTCGTAAGACATTCCCTGGCTTTTGTGCCCTTTATTCCGCTCTATGCTTTGAGTCTAATGAAAAATACACGAACATATATAATGATGCTGAAACACTATGTCATTGCGCCCAAACTAAAACTTTGATTAATCAGTGAAATCTATCGTCTCTGTGAGCTTGTGGCTATTAAGAAAAAACGTGCTTGCAACTACGGTCGACCACAGACCTTGTATGTCTTATTTGTTATGGCGAAATACCTTACAATGATAACTACTTTGTAATATCTACTTTAGCTTTCCTCGGCGGGATAAGGAGTGTCTTTCTAAATGGTTTAACAGAGGTTAGGACTACATAATTATTACCGTAAACTATCTGTTTGACATATGTAATATAGCCGATCTGGGCAGGCCAGTCGATGAGTGCAAAAATCAAATTGAGAGTTATTTTAAATTTATTAAAGCCACTTAAGGGGTAGGAGTCTTTATCAAGCCATGAATTATTTCATATTTTTGTATTTTCAGTGCAAGCCTTTCGAAGCTTCATAATTTTTTTGCATAAACAAAAATTTTACCCTACTTCTCCGCGACCCTTTTTAATGTAAAAACATCTATATTCCAACATAAATCGAATTGTTCTCGAAAGATGCTTTAGAGCATCAGATTCAACTTCTAAGCACTTTCAAGCTATTTTTCTACTTAAATTTGTACATCTTTCCCATTAATCCAAGTTACGCTATTTTTTTCTTTCTTTTTTTGAACTCATTGTATTACTTTTGATTTATGTAATTTAGACTGTTAAAAATATTACGCAATAAAAGTTGCATTTTAGGTTCATTTCACATTCATTGAAAAAATGCTAATTTTCGTAATTTTCAGAGAATTATTATCACATCCTCTTGATTGCTTATATAACGCCAATAAATGCAAATTTTCACATTTACTTTGATTGTCTTTTCACCAACACGATTATGTATTTCCATCGGTTTTTATGTCTCTAAATTTTTTATTATCCGTATACACACACACACACACACACACACACACACATAAACACACACCTCTTGAGTGATATTCCATTGACAAGTTCGATGTTGTTGCTCCTAGCGGCGCGATTCAATGCGGTAATACCCTTAACCGCCAAGCAGGTGGTCATATCCTCAGCCTCAAAACAGCTGCCAAGGTAACGGGCGGCCAGACCCAGTGTACCGCCACCATTATCCCCCTCGACACGATTATCTTGTACGCTTGGCGCGGCCCAAGCGCAGCTGACAATGAGTAGGGATGTGGTAGCAAAAATGGCGAACACTTTCATTTTCACAGAACGAAATTAGCACAAGTGATTATAATCGAAAAAAAGTAATCACTTTCAACGCGTTTAATATATGTATGTAATTTGGAGCTTTTGCGCGTGCGTGCACTGCTTGAGAGCGTTGAGATGATTTTGATGTACTTGTCTCGAGAAAGCCACCCTTTTATACTACTTCCTAAAAAATCGTACTGATATGACACGGGTCTGCTCAGTCGTCTGCTGCGGGACGCCGCTGCTCCAGTGCGATGCAGCGACGCGCCGAAAAAAAAGTAATTACAAAACCAACTTAAAAGAAAAAAAAAACGGAAAACAAAAAATTAAAAATAAAAAACAAACCGAAAACATTAAATGAAACCGGCAATAAGCGAAACAGTCAACAGCAGCCGAAAAATGTACGGAGAAGTGGAGTGAATGGAGCGTTAAAGACGCGCGAGCAGCGCAGAGCAACGCAGAAAAAGTGTCGAATGCGCACACGCACTGCTCGTAAACGCCGGCGTGAAAACAAAACACAAATCATATATGAAAAAAAAGATGAAATTTTCGTCTGCTTTTTTTTAATAATGCGAAAAATAAATAAACTCAAGGGACATAAAACCAGCGACGGCGCAAAGACGCAAGAGAGTGAGTAAAGCGAAATATGGAAAAATGGCCCAAAATTTCACAGAAAAAAAAGACAGTGGAGCGTTTACGTAGTTGTGATAAAACTGTTGCTGTTGCTGTTGCCAGCGACAATCGAGTTCAGCGGCTACAATTTTGAGGCAATTATGATGGCTGCCAAATGCTACTTGTTTTCCTTCTTTTTGACTTCTGGCGCTGATGCCGTTGAGCTTTTCTCAACAAAAAAGCAAAACTTTCAAAAGTTGGTCACTCAACAAATTGAAAACAACTGTCAACAAGTGAGTGGGGAAGAGCTATCATCGGCAGGGCATGTCAATTCCCTTGAGTGCGATTCTGTTGGGAAATATTATAAAAGAGTTCATCAGCTGCTTGGAGATGACTGAAGTTTGTCACGTTCGGTTTGAGATTTTTCCAAGATATAGAGGGACCATACCATATCTTACCAAATTTATGGAGGGAACGATTCTCCAATCTGCTGAGTAGCAGTGAATATGAAACACCCGGAGATGGTGAACCCAATGAAGATAGAACAGACATTCCGCTACCTAACCATGTCGAAGTACCAACAGAGATTGCCCGTTTAAAGAAAAACAAAGTGGTTGGGGCTGACGGCCTACCGGATGAGCTATTCAAACATGGCGGTGAAGAGTTGACAAGTGGATGAAAGCATGCCCGAAGATTGGAATTTAAGTGTGCCCTGCCCAATTCACAAAAAGGGAATTCCACAATCTGTGCCAATTACTTTGGGGTAAGCCTCCTTAACATAGCATAGAAGGTCGTATTGAGCGTTTTGTGGGAAAGACTGAAGCCCACCGGCAACAAACTAGTTGGAGCTTATTAGCGTGTCTTTAGACCTGGTAAATCAACCATTGACTAGATATTCACCATGCGCCAAATCTTGGATTTCAAAGAAGCCGTTGACAGCACGACAAGGAGCTGCCTCTACGCCACTATGTCTAAATTTGGTATACCCGCACAACTTATGTGGCTGAGTAAGCTAGCAACCAAACTTCACAAGTCGCTCATCATACTCGTCCTACTATGTGGCGCAGAAACGGTTTTCGGAGTCTTCGGGAGGAAAGTTTTATGAACCATTGAACGATGAGCTGTTCGAGCTGTGCGGTGATATTGACATAGTTCAGTGAATGAAGAGACAGCAGCTACGCTGGCTAGGTCATGTCGTCCGAATGGATTAAGGCGCTTCAGCTTTGAAAGTACTCGATGCAGTACCCGCTGGTGAAAGCAGAGGAAGAAGAAGACCTCCATTCATTTCATTTGGTATTTCCTCGCGCCAAACAGCGAAAAGAAGAGATGAAGCAAAAATCATATATAATTATAAATAGGTTTGGAATTTCAATTTAATCAACCGGAACATAAAGCTGTAGACATTAGAAGTTTGTCCGTCCTTTAAACAAGACTCGTATGGAAAGTGGACTAGGCTGCTTAATGTAAATAAAGTGTAAAAAGGCGGTGGTCTTAATCTCTACTCAGCAGCAATCTTCTCTAATATGTTATGGAGAGAAGGAAAGTATCGAGTGTCTATACCTTCGTTTTTGCGGGTTATCTCCGAAACTTTTAGGTACAAAGGGACGGATCTTTGGATGTACTTAATAACAATCCGTATTTCTGCGTGACTGTACATATCTTGAAATCACTTTCACTTATTTGGTGTTGTAACAAAAAAAGTTTCATTGAACCACACCATATTTACCTGATGTGTAACTTAGACTGGGCATAAAAAAGGTGCTGCGCATGTGCAGTACATAAACTGCGATTGTTTCTACGAATATAAATGTGTATATGTAATACAGTTGTATATATGAGAGTATATTTGTGTATTTACCTGCTTTCTTGCCAATTGTTGTCACTTATACATACATATGTACATACATATGCAAGTACGAACGGCACTATAAATTTTGCTTTTACGCCCTCATTGCGCCGTCTCAGCTAACTGCGCAGCATCAACGGCCGCATAAACAGCTATGTTTTACTCGCACTTTCGTTGCTTCTGCTTACACTGGGAGTATGCTGCTGAAAACATCCTATTTTGATATTGTAAATATGTAGACATTTTGCTGTTAGCTGTTGTGCAACCAAAAGAAAAAAAACCCTAACGGCCGTGCCTAAAACATTTTTGCATATTTCGTCTGTATGTTTGTCGTTGTAATTATGATTAATTTGGAGATAAGCTCTTTTGTTGTTCATGATTTTTACTTTTTGTTTTTTAAATATACATACATACAATACATACATAGTAGATATGGACATAAATACACATATGTATATGCACATTTCTTTCTTTGGGTGTGAAATTTCTCAATTGACTCCAGTTTCAATTGAATTAACGTAACATTTTGTTGCTGTTTCTTCCGTTTTATTTAGCTTTTTTCTCTGTCTCTGCTTAACCTGTCACGCTCATCAGCGGCACCTACCCATTTGGTTGTTAAAAATTTGACCCAAATTCACACGCAAATTGATTAATCACACAAATGGATTTATCTCTCAACTTCTCTTACAACATTTGCCTGTACTGAACTGAAGAGTTCGAAGAGAGGGAGAAATGGAATTCGCTGTGAAGTGGGAATGCAAACATGAATGAGTTATCCGCCAATTAACCATTTCGTCTTTGGTTCCGGCCGTTTAAAGGTTAAATTATCTAATGAAATGTTGAAGCGCTTAATTGGCAGATTTATTTAAACACTTCATTCGTCATCGTCCATATTTTCGCATAAAATTTTGAAATTTTGTTTAACACTTTTTAAATGTGATATTACTTAAGTGGGAAGTGGTTAACGAATTTCAGTTTATTGGAAAGCACTCGGCTTCTGGCTATGATTCATTTGTAGGCAAACTGTGGTTGTGTAGTAGGATTTAATACCAGGAAATACAGTTCAGCAGAATCCCTAAAATATGACACAATAAAGAAAACTTTCAATATCCGACGTCATTTTGGTACACTTCAAATTTTCCTTTCAGTGAACTTGATAAAAATACACAACCCATAATTATGGCGAATAGGTCGCCTAAAGGTATCCAGTATATCATTTCAAGAAAAGTTTGCTTGAGGCTTCATCGCAACGATAACTTTCGATTCAAACGTAATTGAAAATGTTATCGTTCAAGCAGGTATCAAGTTATATTTCATTTCGTTCTTATCCGAAACTAAATACTGTCGCTTATGTTAAATTATTAACAGATAATTTTAAACGTTATAATTGAAGTGTGTTGTCAATATCATAGCCAGCAATCCTATTTAAATTAACGTTAATGATGAATTTGTGTCGTTTTAAATTTCTTTCGCATAAATCAAAATTCATGAACATTTATTTTTAGAATTTTGTTTAAGGAAATTTAAATGCTATATATGTTTCAGGTGATAGTAGTAGCTTCTAGTAACGAATCCGATTGCTCCCACCAATGATGTAATGACTGAGCTAATGTTGCAGTTATGTGTAGCTGTAAACCGTTAAAAGAGTGTCTGAAAATTAGACACTCCTTTAAATTTGCGGAAAAAACCCGTCTATGTGGTTCTATGTGAACTACAGAATCTAAACTAAAGTAATTAAGGTAAAGTATTTGCTTGATCCCTTACTCATTTTAAAGCACCTTTAGGGCTGTCATGAGTGCTCAAGCGATTGGGGGTTCGCACTGCTCCCGATAAGAAGAACTAGACTAGGCTGCTAGACATCATTTGATTGCACCAATTACTTGCTCGAAGAGAGGAAGTCGTTGTTGATTACCAAACCTGCTTCTTTGCCTAGTCAAACGAATAATCAACCGATTCGGCAGATTTAATATTGACTAAAAAGTGGGGAGTATTTGGTTGATAGTGGAATCATTGAGTCTAAGATCATGGCAACGATATACATGCATTATCTTATATGTGATGCTGATAATTTTTTTCTTAATATAATTCCCATAGACTGTGATTAAATTCTTTTCTCAGATTTCGAGGTTGGTGAGTATCTGGTCAAGGGTGGATTTACCAGTACTAAGACTACACTGATAAGATCCGGCGTCAGTTTGTTGATGGAGGGATTTAGTATAAGCATGCTATCGTCCGAACCTCTTCAGGTTTCATGGCCGATAGCTCGGTTGCAATCTATTTTCCCTCCAGTGCAGTTCGAAATTCCCCGTCGTACTAGTTCTTTTTCTAGATTTGCCGAAATCCACCGGGGTGAATGCCAGTGCTCGGCGGCGGAGTCTCTTCCACACCACGAACCCGACCCCGAAATTGCGGTTCTTTATATGACCGCTGTAGTAGATTTCGCAAAAGCCCCTTCTTCGTTCGTTCGTGTAACGTCTAGGCGCATGCCCTCAAATTGTTATCCTTAAAACGTTTGCGGGGGTAGGCATTAAGAGTGGGGTTTCTCATCCTGTGATTTTTCATTGGAGTATATTTATCATGTGATGGGTTCCAAACCCTACGCACTAACAAATGGATACTCACCTTCTCACTTTATCCTGCTTTCAAACGGATATTTGTTGGCTACTCAAAGG